GATCGGAGAAGCTGAACGACTTCGGAGGCGCCTTCAAAATACCGTGCAAGACGTCGACCTCCGCCGTGAGCAAGGTTCCTGGAAGCAGGAGGAGTTCAGACAGGTACGACATCACTGTGATTGCAGAAGATTTGTAGAGATTGATCACTTCGAGGGTGGTCGCGGGAGTTTTCCTGAGGATGGCCACCCGGGATCGATAGTTGTTCGAGGCCCCGAGCCAAGAGCCCCCGAGGGTCGCACCTGGTTCAAGGATGACAAAGCCAAAGTACGTCGCCGCGGACTCGATCGCAAAATCCTTCATTCCCGGGATCAATTCAGAGCTGCTCGGATCGAGTCTCGGGCATGAGCAAGCTGGGACGTCGACAACCATAGCGGGACCAACGCGCATTTCTTCGGCTGCAGGGCGAAGCCAGCCAACCGGCTCATGGCACCAAGGTGAATGGTGAGAGGGCGAATAGATGTCAAGTCCCAGGGCACCACCCCGAGATCGTCAGCGCGAAGTCCGAGCTCTGCTTCGCGGCCCAACCTAACCAGCAACTCCTCGCGTCGCGGGCAAGCCAGCAGGGATCGCGAGGACAGGCCGAGAGCTCCTTGCATGGCCTCGACAAAGTGGGGCGGTAAAGAAGGCCCAAATCGTGCCCGAAAGCGGGCAGCCTTGACTGACTGTGCACTGACCCCCGTCAGCACCTGACAGAGGTAGCAAAACTTGGCGCCCAAACGGGTCCGGCAGTGCTTCTCGTTGTGCAGGGCAGTGATCAAGTTGATGTATGTCGAAATGGATGCCGAGCTGTTCGATGGCTGCGAAAAGCCACGGCCGCGCCAGAGACGGGAAGGCCGCCAACACGTCGAAGGAGGAGGAAGGAGGAGGAGAACGAGGATGAGGAGCAGGATGGCGGAGGAGGAGAGAGGAGCAGAAAGGAGGCGAAAGAAAAGGAGGATGAGAAGGAGGAGGGGGAGGGGGAGGAGGGGAAGGAGGATAAACAAATGGTAATGCTGTTCTTGATAATGATGGTGATGATGCCGCTGCTGCGGATAATGACGAGGAGGTGGAGGACGAAGAAGAAAAGGTGGAGGAGGAGAAGAGAAAAGGGAGAAACGTGACGATAACGATGAGGAGGAGGGTACATAATGATAAGGAGCACGACAAAGAGCAGGATGAAGAGGGAGAAGGAGAGGAATGCATATTATCATGATCGTGACCAAAGTTTTGATCATGCAGATGCTGGTGGATATGTTGCTGCTGATGATAATGGATATGGTTGTGGTGGTGGTGTTGCGATGTTTGCTGGTATTGGTGATGACGAACATTCGGATGTTGACTATGATGATGACGATGGTGATGACGCTGCTGCAAGTGATGGTGGTGATGGTGATCTGACGATGATGCCGATGGTAATGGAGTTGGTGATGACGATGCTGATGGTGATGAGGGTGACGGTGAAAATGATGATGCTGCTGATGACGGTGATGATGGTGGTAGTGATACGAATGGTGCTGATGACGTAGGCTACGATATCGATGCTGGAAATATGAAAATGATAACGACCATGATGTTGTTGATGGCGATGTTGATGTTGATGGTGCTGAAAATGGTGAAGACGTCGATGCTGACACTGGTGGCAATGATGGCGCTGATGATGGCGATGAGTCTGATGCTGCTGTTGATGATAGTGATGATGATGACGATGCTAGTGAGCATGTTGTTGATATCGCTGATGGTCCCGACGCCCATGGGCGGTCGAATTTGTCAAACAGCGCCTCAACTGGACCAGGAGCCCTCACTCCAACCCAAGACAACCACAGTTGGTGGGAAGGCCCATCTTTGGCAGCGCAGGCAGATTCCACGAGCACGCAAACTACACAGAGCGAGAAGATTGAAATCGATGGTCAGCCTGAAGCAGAATGCAACACAAACGTGTTGCTCATGTGGGATGATGTTTCCCATTCGTCTCCGAGATTCTCATTCGAAAAAGGGCGCATGTTTGACGTGCGATGCGCCATCATGCGATCTATGCCTGCTGGAGTGTGGCCTCGGCGTCTTGGCCGGAGCGCTGGCCCGCTGGCCATCCCGCGGGCGCTGATGGGTGCCACCTTCCCCCCGCGCATCCGATCCCCACAGAGGTCCGACCCCTCGGAACACACGGAGACTGTTCCACATAAAAGCGTTGCTGGTGAGCACGTGTTTGGGTGTCCTCGGACACGGCGTCGAAGAAAACAGAGCATGAAGCATCAATGATATGGCGCACCGTGTTGTTCGTGTTGTCCAACACTATCCACTTCTGGGTGAAGACGTCCGGAAGCCGTCCTGAACGCCGCAGGCGACGAGCAGCTTGCGCGAGACCTTCAACGTGAGAGTCCAAGGTGTCTGAGGCACGCCGAAGCAAATTACCATGTACCTCGTAGGCGAGCAAGTGCAGCGCAGTCATGGGCGAATGGGAGACAAGTTGTTCAAATGTTGCGAAGCGCGAGTGGTCTTACAACCTTGCCAAAGTGACGGTGACGATGATGCTGATGCTGGTAACGATGATGATGAGGATTATCAAAAAGATGAGCAGGAGGAGGATGAGGAGAAGGACGAGGAGGAGGAGGTTAAGGAGGAGGAGGAGGAGGAGGAGGAGGAGGAGAAGGGGGAGGGGAGGAGTTTTCCCTCCGACCCTCGAACATCGAGCTGGGAGGTCTCTGGCTTGTTATCCCCTTTCCTGGCCCGCTTTCTTCCCTCCTCCTGCTGCCCACTCCTCCCCCCTCCTCCTCCTCCTCCTCCTCCTCGTGGCTTCGCCCTGCCTGGGCCTTCTGGAGACGGACCTTCGTCGCCGCGGCCGGATCAGCCTCGAGCTGGCCACTTTTCTCCTTGGGTTGGGTCTCCGGAGGCCCCCCGCCTCGGGCCACGGGCCGCCCAAACATTTACCCCGCCCTCTCCAGCCTGTTGTGCGCTGCCTTACTCAGGCGCGGGAGGACCGAGTCCCTGAGCTGGACCCAACTCTGACGCATCGTTGCAGGCGAGTCCCTCCTGCTACGCAGTACACGTCGTTCATTTCTAATCGTGCTCATTTCAAATTGTGCGCATTTCTAATTGTCCCTGGCCCCCTAGTGGCCAGGAAGAGGCCCAGGAACAATTAGAAATGAAAGGATCTTGGCCCCCAAAAGAATCAAAGAACTCTCGAAGAAACAGAAATGAACAATGAGTATGCGTCTCGCGCATCTCCAATCGCCGCCACACGCCTGCACTTGCACGCAACATGTCCTGCAGCCTGCGCCCGGCTCGGGGGTTCGTGGGCTTCCACAACTCGCCGGCCGCAGGCCCGCGGGTTCTGGAAGTCCAGAGCCCCTCGCGGAGTGCCTGTTTTCCGAGTGCCCCCTGGGTTCCTTCTGAGCTCGCCATCGCTCGGACGTCCATTCCACGCGCATTCGTCGAGTTCGTGCGTGTTTTTGGTTTCGCACGATGCTCCAAAATTCTCTCCGAGGGTCCTCACCGGGGAAACGTGCACACGTCGGAACGATGCCAAGGAGGTGGGAATGTTGGAAACCCATCGCCAGACGACTGCCGGCTGCACACCTCCCCCCTCCCGCTCCAGAGAGCACCCTCCCCCCTCTCTCCGCGCCCTGCGCGCCTGCACCCTCTGGTACCCGTGCCTTCCTGCACACGGTGCCCCACCTCCCTCGCCTCGCATCTCCCGGATCGTTCAGTCGCAGCCCTCCGTCGTCCTTGCGTGCTGTCACGCCCCTCCTCTCTCCCGCTCTTATCGGCCTTCGGCCACAGTAATCGCCAATTCCCCCTACCCCCCTTTCGAGGGCCGGGGAGGGAGAGCGTGGCGAGGGCCTCGTGGCACCGACAGACAGAGCCCGCATACCGCAGGAGGAGAACTTTGAAGGGGCCCAGGGGCACACGAATTGAATCGACACAACTCCCAGGATTCTTCCCCTCCTCGTCCCATCCAGGGAGTCGACGATTGTTTGTTTCTGTGTGTTGTTTTCCCTCCTGTGAGAACTTGTGGGAGTGCCCTCGCGGACGTCGACGGCGCTGCGAGTGCAGGCTTCCCCTCGTCCGAGCAGTGCGCGGCGCGCACCCTGGACCAAAGACGGCGCTTACCTCGGGCGGAACAGAAACGTGCTGGTGTGCGGAAAAGCACGGCGGGCCCACGTCGACGATGACGCCCTCGCGGTTTTTTCTCACACCGCGTGGATCGTCAAGCCTTGATGAGCATCGTGTACTTGATCCCTATCCCCACGGGCGTGGCCTGGGCCCCACTGGCCAACTCACTGGGTACAGGCTGTTCCCTTCGGGCTTCTGGGGGCATATCCCCAGCCTGGGTGGTGTGATGGTGGGGACCGGGATCAGGATGGAGATGGGGATGGGGGACAGGGCTCGGCTAAACGATACGGACTTGAGCGATCGCGATCGCGTCCCTGTGCTATCGCAGGCCGCTGGATATCGGCCGATCCTGGGCCACTGGCGGCATCCCACCTTGAACGCCCGCGCTGGGCTCATCACTGCGCCAGCGCGGGCGCCGAGATGCCGTGCCCTCCTTCTCCTCTGCCTGCTGCGCGGAAGCTGCCTCGCGCTCCTCCCAGCTGCCAGCGGGGACCCTCCTCAGAGGCCATTCTCAGACCTAGGACGTTCCGGTCCCGCGCCCCTCCCCAGGAGGGAGAAGGCGAACAGAAACGGCATGGCATGAGGCCTTCCGGAGGGCTGCGTGGGCCGCGTGCCCCTCCCCCTCAGGCTCTTCCTCCCGATCTTGCTGTCTCTTGTCTCTGCAGGTCGCTCTCCATGCTCTCCTCGTCCCGGTTCCGCCTCACCCCGCCTCACCTCCGACCGTTCCCCACCTCCCTCCTGCTTCGCTCTTCCTACTTGGCCTCCCTCCCTGCCTTTGCCGTGTTCCCGCCTTCTCATCTGCCTTGCCCACCCCTTCGTCCTCTCTCCTCCCTCCTCTTGCCTCCTCTCCTGGCCCCTCTGTTGCTTCCTCGCGCCCTCGCCCACCCTTTGGCGCAAGGTCCCAGCGCACTTCTGGGTGACGTCGTCGACCTGCTTCCTCACCTCGCCGACCTGTGCCTCCGAGACGTCCTACGGCGGGGGTGTGCGACACGCTTGGTGCCTACCCGCCTGGCCGAGGCCGCGCATGGAGGCGTGTAGGACACGATCGAGGAACACAGCCTCCAGTAGCACAGCGCGGACCATGTGGGTAATCTACTCATGACGGATTCCGAGGGAAGAAAAGACACCGACTCCGCTGCCCCCCCGGTTCAGATGTCAAAATTATCATGGCGAAGGACCCGACCATATGCAGTTGTGAATACCGCGCTTGTGAGTGGAGCTCCCTATGGGGCCACGAAGCGCTGCAATGGGTAGGGGGGAACGTATGCGGGCGGTAGCACTGGGGCCGTCGGTGGAGCTCCCAATGGGGCCACGAAGCGTTGCACTGGGCGGGGGGGACCGCATGCGGGCGGTGGCACTGTTGCCGTCGGTGGAGCTCCCTATGGGGCCACGAGACGGTGTACTGGATGGAGAACACGCATGCGGCCCCTCCCACTGGAGCCTTCGGTGGAGCTCCCTTATAGTGCCACGAAACGCTGTACTGGGTAGGGCACCGCCATAGGGGCCTTCAGTGGAGCTCCCAATGCGGCCACGAAGCGTTGCACTGGGTGGGGGGACCGCATGCGGGCACCCCCACTAGGGCCTTGGTGGAGCTCACTGTGGGGCCACGAAGCGCTGCACTGGGCGGGGGGGGGGGATCGCATGCGGGCACCCCCACTAGGGCCTTCGGTGAGGCTCCCTGTAGGGCCACGAAACGCTGCAGTGGGTGGGGGGACCGCGTGCGGGCACCCCCCCCTAGGGCCTTCCGTGGAGCCCCCTATGGGGTCGTGAAGCGCTGCAGTGGGTGGGGGGACCGTATGCGGGCACCCCCACTGGGGCCTTCGGTGCGGCTCCCTATGGGGCCACGAAGCGCTGCACTGGGCGGGGGGACCCCATGCGGGCACCCCCACTGGGGTTTTCGGTGGAGCTCCCTATGGGGCCACGAAACGTGTGCGGGGTGTGCCAACGTAGGGGGGGGACAGGAGGAGGGGGAGAGTGAGGAGGAGGAGGAGGAGGAGGAGGAGGAGGAGCAGCAGCAGCAGCAGGAGGAGGAGGAGGAGGAGGAGGAGGAACGCGGAACCGTCTCTTCAAAACGAGGGCCCAACACCACAATATGGTTGGGAAAAACTGGAAACGTGGGTCGCTGTCTATTCATATGTCTTGGACGCAGCATTTGTCACGTTCTCTGGCCTGGGGGTCGGCCCGTGGCTCAGATGCTTATTGTTGTTGTTGTTGTTGTTGTTGTTGTTGTTGTTGTTGCTGTTGTTGTTGTGGTTGTGGTTGTGGTTGTGGTTGTTGTTGTTGTTGTTGTTGTGGTGGTTGTTGTTGTATTTCGTTTGCTCTTCCGATGCCGTTGCGTTATTACCACATGTTCAGGTGTCACATTTCCGCTTGCCTGATACCGAATTTCGGTGGCGCCAATTCTACCACGTCTCTGCCGAGCCAATAGCGACAATTTGACAATGCGGACAACAACGCGCCCAGCGTCTCTTTTTGCAGCGAATGCATCCCCAAGCCTCTTTTGGGGTGCATTCAGGTCAGACGTTCGACGATAATCCAGCCATGGCCACGAGGGCTGTCCAGGAAGAGCTGCGGCATCTGTACCCTGCCCTCACCCGAGTTGGGCCCTCCCGGGGAGCGGCAGCGGCATCGGTATCGGCGAAGACTTGGTCAGGAATGGGGCTCCCGAGGCCAGACCACGGCCATGGAGGCGCCGCCAGGGGGCCTGGCGCAGGTCCAAACGAAACGCGCGGAGCTCCGCAAGTTCACGCATGTGCAATGTATTCTGCGTGGCCAGCCAGGCGGCAGAATGTCACCCGACCGCCGAAGGTGTACTTCGGGCGTATCCCGCTGTACTCTGCCCTCGGCAGGGCGGCGTGGCGAGGCATGAAGCAAGAACTCGCACCACCCCGATGCGGGGCAGCGACGATGGGGGCGAACAGCCCAGGGGAGAGACTGAATGTAACAACTGTCCAAGGGCGCCGATGGCCCATGCCTTCGGCGAGGCTCCCGAACGAATGCGTGTAATGCCCGCCCCTGAGATATTCGCCCCCGCCGTCGCCCCCGACAGGGGGGGGGTCGGGACCCGACAGCGTGGTGTGCTCCTGGAGAAACATGCGTGAAGTGGAACTGGGACGCACAAATAAATAGACACAAATGACCAGATTCCCCATATTCTCATATATTTTCTGGGTTTCTGTCTTCCCCCCGCTTCCCATATTTTCCCATATTTTCCAACGGAATCGAGAATTAATCGTGTCTGTGTGCTTTTTCCTCTCCTGAATGCGGTCGGGAACTTGTTCTTAGCGTTTCGCGGCGGCGGCCCCGGCGACAGTCTATGCCCTGCATGCGGCCAGCGTGTCGCTCGGCTCCGCGGGCGGGAGGCTGGGGAAAACTGGGGACGATGACGCCTGGGGATTGGGACGTGGAAAGCGTGTCGCGCCGAAACGTGGTGGGCCAAAAACCGGCGGAGCGACGCGCTAAGCCAACGTTCCTGACCTTAGCTGCCCCGATACGCAACACGCAACCCGTAGCGTGTTGACACGGAGCCCCGAACGTATCCCAAAGACGTACGTTTTGCGCGATACGTTCGCCGAAACGTGGGCCACCAGGCTGAGCCAACACTTCTGCGTCGCGGCGCGGCAGAAGCAATCCGCTCGCGAGTCCGAGCGAGACCGGGACACGGAGTCGCGAATCAACCCGCATGCAGAAGGAGGGGGGGGGGAGGAGGAGATGGGCCGGCCGCGGAAGGGGGGAGCCGGGCGCGGGGGCGGCCGGGCGGGCAGCCCCTGGCAGCTATCGCGGGGCGGCATCGCGATGCACTCAGAGGTGGGGCCAGCAGCCGCGGTGCGGGCGGAGCCCGGCAAGTGGGGGAGGGGGGGTACCCTGAGCCAGCACGCAACGTGTTAAAACAGACGCTTTGAGAACGGCACGCGTTGAATTTCAATCAAAACGGGCGTATCACTGCAGCTAAGTTCCTGACCGTATAGATGAGCGCGGGCCTAAATTCCAGACGTTGGCGTCGCTCGCAGAGGCGACGGTGGAGAGCACCAGGGTTCTGGCTCCCTGCGGAACCCCACATCTGGCCAACATCGGCGCGATCCTCCTGAACGCCAACCACGGCATCCCCCTGTGTGATCTCGTCCGATCAGAATGTCGGCCAGCGCCCAAGCTGAATGATGTTGGTAGACGCACGCAAATGTGTGTACACTTAAGTATCGACAGACTTAGATGTACAAATTCATCTATATATATATATATACACATATACTTATTTATACATATATGTATATCTACACATACATAGTTAAACATCTACATATGTGTCTGCATACACATGTAGATGTATATATATACATATATATACATAATCGGCCAATTCGAAGCGAACACATCGCAAAGACCGACAATCCACCCAACTCCATCATCGCCCACAGGGTGGTCTTGCAGGTAGCGGCAAACTCCCTGGAAGGACGCCGTGCGGATCAGGGCATGGGGCGGGCTGTCCTGCTGCAGGCCGGGCAGGACAAGGGAGCGCACGGGAGGTTCGGCAGGCAGGGAGGCGTTCCAGAGCGGAGGGTGGCAGGGAAGACGCCTCAGAGGAGGCTCGCTAGGAGAATCTCGAGCGCGACGCCGATTGATTAAGAGGGGACGCGCTTGACATCGCCCGGACGTCCATTCCCATTGCATGGTTCGGCATCGTGCGTTGATTTTTCGCACGATGATCCAAGATGCTCCTCGATGGTACTCACCGAGAAAAGATGCATACGTCCAAGCGGTGCCGAGCACATGGATCACCGCCACCGAGAAACCATCGGGGGGGACCTTCCCCTGGGCGGTGGCACGCCAGAGCGTCGCCCTTTGCTGGGAGACGCTCGGGCGTGTCACCACCCATGGGTCGGCCCCTACCGATGGATTCTGTGTGGCGGTGGTTCGTGCCTCCTCTCTGGTTGACAGGAGAGGGTTGCCCCTCGAACACACGGCTCTGTGACCTAATGCCCGCATGGATCTGGCTGCTGCGGCTGCGAGGGCATGCAGCTCCCAGGCTCCTGCGAGCGAGATCTACCAGACTGCGTGGGCCCGAGGCGCAAGAGGAGGGAGGGACTCATCTCCCTCCTCCCGCCCCTTCCCGCTTCAGGCCCTCCCGCTCCTTCTGCCCTTTCTGCCTGACCCCCACTGTGAGTCAGGAGGCAGGTTCGCCCGCTCGTCCACAACACCTCCACTGGAGCACTTCAAGGTGAAGGGGCCCGCCCGTGCCTTGACAGTCCAGCCCAGACGTTCCTCCTCCTGCTCCCCTCCCTCTCCCCGGCCTCCCCGGTCCCCTCCTCCTGATCTGGCGCGCCGTGGTTTTCGGGTCATAGCTCGGCTCCCTGCGGCCGTTCGGGCACCCCTGGAACGCTTCCGGCGAGGCGCACCTGCTGGAGAACACCCCGAGGCTGGAAACCCGCTGGCATCCATGGAAAAGCCCCGACAATCTCCCCAGGGGCGCCTCCCCGGCTTCCCCGCTCCCCTCCTCCTCTTCCTCCTCCTCCTCATCCTCCTCCTTCTCCTCCTCCTCCTCCTCCCGCCTTTCCTGGTTGTCCTCCGTTTCCTCTCCCTCTTTCCGCCCCTGGGGCGGGAGGCGCTGGGGCGCGAGCTCCTCCCTCCTCTCCATGGAGGCCTGGCGCTGGGGCGTTCGCGGGAAATTGGCGAGCTGCCAGCAGAGAGAGCCCAACCCGAGGGGAGGAAGATACAGGGCGCAGGGGAAACAGGAGGCGGGGAGTTTCTTCTCATCGTCCTCCTCCTCCTCCTCCTCTTCCTCCTCCTTTCCCTCCTCCTCTTCCTCCTGTTCCTCCTTCTCTTCTGGCTGCTCCTCGTCATCGTTTTCGTCGTCCTCCTCCTCCTCCTCCTTCTCCTCCCCTTGGGCCGGAATTATATACATATGTATGTATGTGTAGATAAACATACAAGGCTACGTTAGCGCTTCGCGCCATGCACCTTGGTCCTTGAAT